GAGGCTGGTTGTACTAACTGGGAATCTAGGACACATTCGCAAGTATCGTGTTATGGTCTGAGTTAACAATATTGATCAGAACTCGTAAAAGTTGAGAACAGTAAATATATTGTAATTCATTTTGCATTGTGAATTTCAACACTTTTCATTGTTGTTAATAGATGTATATTTGAGAATTTTGTTTTTATTGCTTCTACTAACAGGAAGAGAGTTCTTGAGATAAAAGTTCGTGAATTGAGTACTTACCTATTTCTTAACTTCTAGTTTTTTTGCTTGTTTTTTTAAATTATTTATAAATAAAATAAGCTGGCGCCCATTTCACTTAACACAATTAATATTCCATCCTGATAGCACAAAAAAATCACCTACAGGAGGATAGTCCAAAGAATTCACCCCTCAGGAATCTCATTGTTCACAAATTTAAAGAGCTAAGGGCGTTTTGAACATATTTCATTACAAAGGTTATAGAAATATTTACAAAAAAACATCAGCCCTAACAGAAACTTTCCAGATAATTGATTTTAGTTTGCTCCAACTTGAAGGTTACAATATTATTTATAATAATGGAGATCTCAATCAGAACGATGGAACTGTGATTTATGTCAAAGATACTCTTAATTATAATTATGAAATCATAAATTTTAGTGCAATCAAAGTTATCAACATGGAAGTATCATATGGTCAAAAGAATATAAATATTATAGCTATATACCGTTCCCCATCCACATGTCCAGATACATTCATAAATGACCTCGATATATTTTTTGAAAAAAACAAAAAGAAAAAATACGACCTTAGCTGTATTATAGGCGATATTAACATAAACATACTTGGAGAAGATGATTCTGTGGAGAATTATCTAAATGTTCTTAGTGAGTGGGGTTATGTGTCGGCTATAAATCAGTACACGCGCATATACGGTGAAAGTAGAAGTTGCATTGATCATATATTTTTGAAAACACACCTTCCTGAAGACAGCTTCATTCCAATCATTTTGCAAACAAATATCACTGATCATTACTCTACTCTCATGATTGTATCTGGAAAGACAGAAAATTTAAGTAAAAAATGTAAACCAAACTTTAAAAAATTCATAAATTATAAGAAACTCTCAGAAAAATTGAGAGATGAGACATGGCATTTTCTGTTCCAAGAAACAAATGTAGAATGTGCGATGAATGCATTTATGGATTTCCTTAATGATAAAATAACACAATGTACATATAGTAAAAAATTGAACCGAAATGAGATTAAAAGGAACCAATGGATTACCTCAGGGCTGATCAGATCAATAAACATCAAGAATGAACTTTACAAAAAAGTTCAGGGCAATCCAAATAATCAAGTTTTTTTTGAAGATTATAGAAAATACCGTAATAAATTAAACTCATTAATAGAAGAAGCAAAGATAAACCATTATAAAGAACAACTAGAGAAAAACAAGAATTCATCTAATAAACTGTGGGAATGTGTGAATAATATTCAGGGTAAATGCAAGAAAAAGCTAGACTTGAAAGAAATAAAAGTAAATAGCTGTGAGACAATTGATAATGACAAAGATATAGCTGAATACTTCAGTAAATACTACAGCGAAGTTGGTAGTAGTCTGGCTGAGAAAATAACAAAAATTTCAGGGTTGTACTTCAGAGAAACTACTTATGCTAATTCGATATATCTTTCCGAAACGGACGAAGGTGAAGTGAAAAATATAATCAAGGATTTGAAGACAGGAAAGGCTCCTGGGCTAGATGGTTTAAAAGCAGAAACATTACAACAAATCGTAGACCTTATAGCAACACCTATTACGTATTTAATAAACTTGTCAATGAGAACAGGGATATTCCCTAGTACTCTCAAAAAAGCGGTTATTAAACCAATATATAAAACTGGGGACAAAAAAGTAGCTTCAAATTACAGACCAATATCATTAATGAGCACTATCTCTAAAATCTTTGAAAAAATATTAAAAAAGCGTTTGGTTGACTACTTAGACAGATATAATATCTTATCACCCCATCAGTTCGGATTCAAAAAATCAGTTTCAACGGAAGATGCCATGGCTAGATTAACATCAATTGTATATGACTATGTGGATAAAGATGAAAAGTGTTTATGTATATTTGTCGACCTGGCCAAGGCGTTCGACACCGTGAGTCATGAAAAATTGTTGAGGGCATTAAATAACATCGGAATACGAGGCATAGCACTTGAATTAATGACAAGCTATCTCAGTAATCGCAAACATTGTGTAGAAATATGTAATCAATTGAGTTCTGAGAATGCTGTAAATTATGGAGTACCGCAGGGTACGGTACTGGGTCCCATACTTTTCAATATATACCTCAATGATCTGTTTATACAGGATGGAAACTGCGAAATTGTTTGCTTTGCGGACGATGGTGCAATGATATATAAAGATAAAAACTGGGACGACCTCAAGCGGAAAGTTGAATCTTCATTTTCTAATATTATTAAATGGTTCAACAATAAATTACTAAGTATCAATTTCGATAAAACAGTTTTTATACCTTTCGGCTGCTACATCGATTCCCTACCAACCTATGATAAACTCAATTTCAATATTAATAATACAATTATTTCCTTAAAATCAGCCTCTCATATTAAATATTTAGGTATTATCATAGATTCGAACCTGAAATGGGATAAGCACATATTTTATGTTATTAAAAAAATCCGCTGTATGCTGAGCAAATTCAAATTTATGAGAAAAATCTTCAATATCTCCCAGATGAAAATACTGTATTATTCACTCGTTCAATCACACCTTAACTATGGAATATTGGCTTGGGGTGGAGTAATGAAGACATACCTGGAGAAATTGAATAATATTCAAAAATGGATATTGAAAATAATTTTCAATAAAAAAATCACTTACCCCACTGAGGCACTTTTTGATGAATCAAAAATATATGATGTGAGACAATTATTTTTTTATAAACTCGCTCTTCGACAAATACAGCGTAAAAATGAAAATTGCCCACTGGCACACAAATATAGTACTCGGCAGAAAGCTAAAGCACTAAGAATTCCTAAAATGAACAAAACAACTGGACAGCGCTGCCATACGTATCTCGGACCAAAGATATTTCCGGAAATACCAGAATACTTAAAATGTATAAACTCTAATATTCTTCTTAAGAGTAGGATGAAAATATGGATACGCGATTTACCACGCATTAAAATACACAGACTCATCGATTGTAAGAATTCTTAGATTAGGTATTTGAGAAATAATAATTAAGTGTTAACCAAATATTAAATCGATGCATAAGACACGAGAACACCTTCACAAACTTGCACTTTGTTCATTTGTTATTTTGTTTTTTCATCATTATTGTATTTGTATCATTTCCTTCTACACCAATTCCATAAATAAATTATTGAATAAATTATTATCTGAAATGTTCCATAAATTATTCAACAACTATTATATTTATATATCTATATATCTGTTTGTTTTGTAATATGATATGATAATTATTTTTTTGTATATTTTTATATTATTCATTGAATTTTACCATCTTATATGATCTATTATCGTTCAACATCACGTAAATTCAAACTGTATACATTGTGAATCATTGTCTACCCACGCTCAAGGGAATCCTTTTAGTGGGTTTGTCATTATTTACCTGTACAAAATGAATCTTAAATGATGTATGTATGTATATACTAATGAATGTTTCTTTTTTTTGGTAAATAAATTATTATTATTATTATTATTATTAAAACCCTATTTGAGATCGTTATAACACCCCAGGGGGCTAGCTATTTCTGTGCTCATGTTTATAAAAACTTTTTTCAATATTTTTGTTCTGAGAATCTGTCGTTGAAATCTTTCTATGTAATTTTGGGACTTCCTGTATAACATATATACAGTGTTTCTATGTTAAGGACCTAACACCCCTGTTAAATCTTCATTACCTGATTGATCTTAAATTTTGTTTTTTGTTGGTTAGGTATTTGAAATGTCTATAAAAAAAGAGTCATTTTATCTATAACCATGACCAACTGGGACAAACTTATTCAATTGACCCATATTTGAAAAAGTATATACCTGAATCAGGATCACTTGAAACATACCTATACTAATTTAAATCATCATAAAACAGAGGGTGTCTGGAAAAATTAATTATTAGTTTTTTGAAAATATGTTCAAAAATATAGTACCTGCTATTGTATTTTGAGAAGAAACTGGGGAAGAACTAATGACAACTCATTATTCAGGACTACTGGGAACATATCTGTACCACAATATTACATTTTGTTTTTTTGGACACCATGTTTTAAGGAAATGAAAATTGGTACAGGTATGTTTGAAGTGATCCTGATTCAGAATCCATCATTATTTTAATATTTTTTGTGAAAGAAAAATCCCTAGTGGAACAGTTGTCCACTGGGTTGGCCATGATAAAAGTGCAAGAATAAAATCACTCTTTTGTTGGATGGACATTTCAAACACCCATCCAACAAAAACAAGTTTCAAAATTGATCAAATAATAAGAATTTTACAAGGGTGGTAATACCTTGTTGTAGACTCTCTGTATGAACCTATAATAACTGACCTTAAAAATATTAAATGAACCTGCTGATCTCAAACATTTTCCACATTAATAAAGTTGCACAAAGAATATTTGAAATACTAAATTGCCACCATGAGTAGCACCAAGTAGACAGCATTCTCAATACAATTATTATGAGTTGTTAATACTTGGACTTGCTAGATATTACTGAAGTGCTTCTATGTTGATAATGATTGATATCCATTTCACACTCATGGTTATTTACCTATATAAACCAATCAAATACTTATAACTTATGGTCTGGTACTAGCATGAATATAGGTAAATGCCTTATTCAATGATTCACTTGTCAACCCTATTATTTCTGTGATTATGTGAAGCAATTCATCTTCTAATATTATTTTTCATAATTAGTAAAACAATATACCTAGTGGTATAAAATAAGAGAGGCATTACCTATGATCTCATAATTATCTGGTAGACAATAAAACCCAAGAGTCTGCAAGTTCAGAAATACATGATGTCCTTCAGCAACTGAATGAGTATAGGCATGAGTATTGGTGCCTCTTCCTTGAAAGTATTTCCCACATACTAAACAGGCATACACATTAATTCTTGTTAATGATACAGAACAAAGCTTTTCAAAATCAAAGTCTAGATACTGTCTGTTTATGGTATCTAGATAGGGACACAATCTTGGAAGCCTGGTAGCTGGAAAAACATTTTGATATGAATTGAATGCTTGGACATAATTAGGGAAAATAAAATACTCACTGGGGGCTCTTGGGAACAACTTTGTTTCATTTTTAAATTCAGATTTGATCACATCAGTATCAGGCAATACACTTTCATCCAGTTTTTGCCTCTTTGATGGAATCTGGCTCTGATTCTTCATCATAATGAATTATTTGGGATCCACAATGACATTGGACAAAACTTTTTTGTAAACTTGAATACCTGAATGAAACACAGTCACATTTGATTCACAAAGACGTGAATTACTTCTAAGAATGATTGTGAAATGTACTTAAAATTACTAATATCACAAACGTTCTGAAGTTTTAAAAAATTAAAAAATTCCAACACAGAAGTAGCGACTCTATCAACAAGCTATCAACAATAATTCTAACCCAACAAAATCACCAATTCACCAATCTGATAGTGGCTGCCAAAGCTGGCTGCTAAAATTTCCGAACTTACCCGACAGACCATACCAGTGGCGGGCGGATATTCTTTCATGAATCAATTACATTTTTTTTCACACTTCCCATCAGACTTTTATGATGATACATGGTAGGGTACATTACTGTTGAATCCTAGAATCGTGTGGTAGCGAAATAATCACTTCCAAACGTGTCCAGCGACTTGTACAGGGTGAATCAGCTTTTTTCAAAATCATTTTTTTCTACCATATTTCGCATCAGACTTCCGTGATGAAATATGATAGGTTACGTGGTGGTGGCGTTCCACAAGGATCAATTTTGGCACCAACATTATTCCTTCTTCATATCGATGATCTGTTCATTGGGAGTAACAATAACTTGCCCCATCCACAGCTTTATTGCAGATGATAGTACCCAAAATATCACATTTGAAATGGATATAACAACCAGAAATATTCATTCTATTTATTGACCAGATCTCATTCCTATTCAGGGTGTTTCACAGGTAGAAGGAAATATTTCAGTGATACATATAGGGGTCACCAAGGTGGTTCTGAAAATACCATATTTGTTAGGCCTTAGAGTCTTCATAACGGAGATATACAGGGCGATTTATCGATTTTCAATAATTATTCATTCGTCTATAAGTATTGAACTACCCGGATATTTTCCTCGAGTTTGATATGGATCTTAAACTTGGGACGTTGAATTTATTCACCTATCGGGCGGAGCAAAAATCCAAGTTCGGCTTCAGAAAAAATTCACTTTTATTCGAAATATTATAATAACACGAAGGAATCGTGAAGAGGAGGAAAAACTGAATTGAATTTGATGCTTTTTGTTTTTCCGCTACCAATTCTGATCGCAACAATCATAAACAGAGAGTTCAAAGTATGTCAATTTGAAGAGTATTAACATTATAAAAACAAGTTTTGATTATGATCATTTGATATATCTTTAGCTAAATGATCGTTCGAAAGAACTTACTGAGTCTCACTGTCTTTATAACAGAGATACAGGGTGAATCATATCGGTTTCGAATAATCATTTACTCGTCCATATAAGTATTGAACAACGACCCAGTAATTTTTCCCCTATTTTAATAGGAGCTTACTTAGGACGTTAGACCCAGACAGCACTGGATATTCCTAGAATATTCTCTAAATATGCTAAAAAGGAGGAGTATATTCCGAATATTCATCGATTATTCCTAGAATATATACATGCCTCTGGAACATCTAGAAGGAATATTCCAAAGTGATGTTCAGGGAATATTCAGGTATGAATTTTCCAGGAATATTCCCAAATGAATATTCTCTCTTGTATATTCATGAAATATTCCCAACTGAATGTTCTGTGGGGTATATTCATGAAATATCCTCAACTGAATATTCTGTGCGGTATATTCATGAAATATTCTCAACTGAATATTCTGTGGTGTATATTCATGAAATATTCCATGAATAGTCCTATGTTTCTCAACACATAAATACCCATCATTATTTCAGAGTTGTGAGTATCGGACATCAAAATTAGATGTAAGAGGATTTTGAAACAAAAAGTGTTTATGATCCGATTTCGAACAACGCTCTCACAAGAAATTGATATGAACAACATTATTCAATTCGATTACTGGCCTAGTGGTCAAGGCGTTGGTCTGATAGTCTTGAGGTCACGAGTTCGATCCCTACTAGGGCCACTTTTTTTATTTTAGAATATGTTTATTGGAATATTCCAGGAATATTCAACATGGAATATTCTTTTGGATATATTCTATGAATATCTGAGGAATTCCCATTCGCATATTTAGAGAATATTCCACAGATATTCCGGAATATTCCAGATTATTTCTAGAATATTCCAATATTCCAAAAGGAATATGATAAGGAGATTCATGGAATATCTGGTACTCTCTGGGGATTCATTGACCTATCAGGCGGAATGGAAATACAGGTTCAGCTTCAGAAAAAGTTCCACGCAGTGTTTATAATAACAGAGATACAGGGTGGATCATCGGTTTCGAATAATCATTTACTCGTCCATATAAGTATTAAACTACGCAGTAATATTTTCTCAGATTTGATACGGAGCTTACTTGGGACGTTGGATTCATTGACCTACCGGGCGGAATTGAAATACAGGTTAGGCTTCAAGAAAAATTTACATTCATTCGAAATATAAAAAAACACACTGTATTTAATAATTAATTTAACAGAGTTCATCAAAAGAATAATCGTGAACGAGAGAAAAAACTGAATTGAATTCGATACTTCTAGCGATTATTCAACTAGAAGATATCAAATAAATATAATTCGATAATTCACACTGTATCTCCGTTATAAATACTGTGAGACTTTTCCTGAAGCTGAACCTGTATTTCTATTCCGCCTGATAGGTTAATGAATCCAACTTCCCGACTGAGGTCGATACAAAATTTTGAGAAAATATTACTGGGTATAGTTGTCCCGAGTAGTACATATACTGGCATTACTTCATATCTTATATTATGTCCCTTCTAGACAACCATGGTACATTCCTTCAAATATCTCTGCACAGGCGCCTTTAATATTTCCAGGATCTCATAACAATCGAAATGTCCCTTAGGGACGTCCTTCGAATGTCCGTCGGATGTCCCAATTGGTACATAAACTGTGCTCTTCCAATGTCCTAGAAATAACGTCCTATGGACGTCCTAGTCGGTACTTTCAATATGTTGTCCCTGCGAGGACGTCAACTTACACCTCGCCGACGAATGATTGCTCGTAGGCTATAAGTACTCCTCGTCAATGTCCTTCACGTAAGTCCAGTGGACATCCTTGGGAAACTTTTTGAGGACCTTCTACGGACCATCAACTCAAGTGGATGTCCTAATTAGTTATGCAAGATCTGGTCCTAAAGGGACCCAGACAAATTAAAATTCAAGAATAATTCGAACGTCCCTGGGACATCCTATGGACATCCAATCAATATCCCTCAGCGTTGCTGATAGGTTGTCTTATGGATGTCCTAAGGACGTCCTCTTCAGTGCTTGATGAGGAATACTGTAGGATTTGGGTATTCCATAGTTGTACCAGGGACGTCCCTCAAGGACGTCCCTTGTTGGTCCTCAATTGGGACATTTGTGCGTCCCACAGACGTCCAATGGACGTCCACGGTACCAAATTCAAACGTCCTATGGACGTCCTGAATATTTCGTCAGGACGTCCTAAGGATATCCATGGGACATAAGTGTGTTATTAGGGTATGGACGTGTGAATAATTATTCGAAACTGATAATTCACCCTGTATCTCCGTTATAAAGACTGTCATACTTAATAGTAAGTTATTTCGAGCGATCATTCAACTAAAATATATCAAATAATCATATAATTAGAACTAGTTTCATAATTTTAATATTCTTCAAATTGACATACTTTCTACTTTCTGTTTATGATTGTTATACGATGAGAATTGGTGGTGGGAAAATAAAAAGCATCAAATCCAATTCAGTTTTTTCTCCTCTTCACGATTCTTTCAACGAAGTCTGTTAATTATTACATACAGTGTGTGATATTTTAATATTTCGAATAAATGTAAATTTTTCCTGAAGCTGCGAACCTGGACTTTATTCACTCCGCCCGATAGATGAATAAAATCAACGTCCCAAGTATAAGCTCCATACCAAATTGAAGGAAAATATACTGAGTAATTCGATACTCATAAACGAATGAATGATCATTCGAAATCAATAAATCGCCCTGTATCTCCGTTATGAAGATTCTTAGACCTATATCGAATATCGTATTTTCAGAACCACCTTGGGGACCCCTATGTACCATTGAAATATTTCCTGTGAAACACCCTATATATGATATGAATGCATACATTTTAGACATCCCATTCAATCCACCACATGGATGTCCAAGACAGATACAATATGGATGTCCTTGACAGATACCATAGATGTCCATGACGGATACCATATGGATACCTAGCTAAAAAGTTGGAAACGCGATATCCTATGGTTGTCCATACGTCATCCAGTGTACACAAACGGGATGTCCAAGATGTCCAGAGGAGGATGTCCATATGCGTATGGAAATTCATTTCACCGTTTAATTTTCTTGAAATTCCAACAAAAACCAATTTTGCATGCATCTACTAATCGTCGGAAATAATCAATTTTCAATGATTAATACAAGCCTAATCTGAGAACCAATAGATTTTTTTCAATTTCCCGAAACCGACCAATCACCAGGCATTTTTCGTGGTGGACATATTTGAACCAGTTTGAGAAATAATTGAAGGTAGTATAGTTTTTGTTATTGTGTTCATTGGAATTCATGATATCTATATCCGACTGGGCAAAAAATCATGCCAGTTTCATCACATTCTTGCAAACTGGATTTCATGTCACGTTATGATATCATCCCCGCGAAACAAGAGTCTAGCTGCACCTTTTCCATCGGTGACTCTATATGAATTCACGCGCGTACCTGACGCCACTGTTTTTCATCGAAATATATTTTTGAGTAGGAGAATGATACAGCGAGCTGTGAATCCGATTGCCATTCGCGGCTTGTGTTCAATCCATGCAAAAATCGATTTTTTTACTTCGCAGGTAATTTTTTTTTCCTGTAAATATAATTTCTAGAACAACGTTTTATTTTGGCCAGCATTTTTGCTTTTCGCGTCACCCCAGTGAACACAAACATCGTTGGGATGTCACGCATTCATGTCTTGCTAGGTAACAATG